CAGGAATGCGAAGGGCTGAAGGAGTCAGATGTATTAACGAACGCCAAAAAGACTCCTTGAAGGTACAGATACACCCACGTCTGTGTTTAGCATTCAGTATTTTCCGTTAGCGCCACCAAATACAGAAGTGGAAAATAAAGTGATGACTCTTGGGGGTGGGGGGGAAGTCAAACATTGGGCCTGATGCATAAGCAAAGAAATTAGGGTTTTCTCATATGTATTTAATAAAGCACTATTTTTTTGATTCTGTTCTGCTTATTTGATTGTCTAAAGCTGGTATCAACATAAGGATAGTTAACAGATAGTATTAGAGTTCATTAAATACCCAGAGCTGTTTTCATTGTTCAACAGTATCCTTTGCAACTTTTAAAAACTGGCAAGGTATCCTACAAAACAACTGCAGGTCTTTGTAAGTTACTGTTTCATAGAAGGGAATGACATGTTTCAAGTCAGTCTTGCAATGGGAAGAGTATTATTGCTGAGCAGAACCACCAAACCAGGCACCTGAACGTGATCAGATACCGAGACTTTACTTATACACTAGCTTTGCTACATTCTAATTTGTCCAGGGAGAATCACATTATTATTAGTCAAAATAATTTTAGTTTTGTAAGTTATGCTAAGTCTTACTAAAGAAAGAACCAGGAAGTTGCAACATTTCTCAAGCAAGTTTTTACAATGATCTTATAAGACTGACACATGAAGCTAAAGGACAACATGGCTACATGGGCCAAAGGGACCGTGTATCGCTAAACTGAAACTCAACAGTTATGTGCTGAAGGACCTAGCATGGGGATGCCGAACACAGCTTCTGCTCAGTCTTTAACTCACGTGTGCTAAGAGAGAATAAAGTAATGCTGTGCAGAAGCCACGTATCAGCTTATATTCATTGCAGACCAAGAACTATCTCTGGCTTCCCTGATTATGTATTCAGATTACACGCCATTAAATTTGTTACCTTGGGAGCAAGGTCAGGGCATATAATTTTGTGGAATAGTTTTGCACTCTAAAATACTGAGAGGTTCCCTCTCCAAATAGACTTTCAAAGAATGGTGAACGGCTGGGCACAAACAAAGGTGGCAGTTTATCCCAGTTAAAAAAAAAAAAAAATCTAAGTCACCACATCACAAGACTATTTTAGCTAAAAATGTCACTTGGAAATCAAACAGGGCCACATGGAAATTGGTCTGAATACAATGAAAAAAAAAAAAGGAGGGAGGAGTCGTAAATGCAGCGATCTCTAAGTCACACGTCTCCAAGGAGCTACCTCCTTCATATACGTGCTAACATTGGAGTGCTTAGTACCAGACGGTCTATTTGCTCACAATATTAAAGGGCATCTAGAATTAGCTATGGGAGATTTAAAATCGCCTGCTGATTGGATATAGAAAGGCTTGATCCAGAGATGGTCCATCAGTCAAGAGTATGGATTCCCCAGGCCTTCCTGATGACTGTCTTGCAAACTAAAATAGAGAGACAACAGGAAAACGTTTCAGAACCACTTTGGAAGTGTGCCAGAAGCTTCAGATTGACCCCTCAAGTAAGTGTTTAGACACCCTGTCTCCAGCGCCGACAGTGGCAGTACACCACTGCATCACTACATTTCAGCCCTAATCCAGAACAGAATTTCCAATGGAACCTAAGACAGATGAACATGAATTGCAACTTAAACAACCTAACAATTCCAGAAGCCGTGGTACAATTATGAGAAGACCACCAACTCACTTCTCTAAGAACTAGAGTAAATGAAGAGGAAGTGAAATAGGTTAAAGTTTCATTAAAAGATTAAAATGTATCTAGTTGATTTCAGAAGGGTGATAAGACCCCCCCCATCCATGTTCCTCACTTACCACCAAATAACCAGTAGATAACAGAGCACAGGCAGAGGCAAACAGTCAGTCCTTGATAAAGCTGTGGCTATGCCCTACCCCTGCCCGCCCCCCTCCCTCTCCCACCAAACCCAAAACTGATTCTATGATCTAACAGACATGGTTTAACATTCTCAGCAATGCTTATGTCATCACTGAGCATGCTGTCTAGAATACAGCCTAGGGGATTGGCCAGCAAGGACAAATTCATATATATATGCTCTCCAGTATGGCAGTCCCTCCTCCCCGAAGCTAGCACATTCATAATGAAATGCATGAAATAAGTCAAAAGCTTTAAAATTGTCCTCTCCTCCTCCTTCCCCCTGATGCGTAAGTGTTGACCCAGGCTTTAGTCTATTAATAAATACTGTTAACAAACAATATGCCAGAAATATCCCAAATGATAGCATTTGCAGATCCAACTTATTCCTTCTGGACTGGCAAAAGATTCTCTGCAAGTCATGGGATAGAGGCATTACAGAAATAAGAATAGCAGCGAAGTATATAAAATGTTCTAACACATTTTAAACTTTTCATTCAAACATTGCTTTAGAATAATTCTGAAACAAGACAGTAAATTCACTCATCGACCTACCAGTGAAACATGTTTATTATCACTTAATACCACAGTTCGACTGCCTGAAGCTACAGGGAGGATCCTTTGTCCCAAATGTATTTGCCTTAAACAGAGCAATAGAGTTTTGTCAAACTCTCAATACCTACAGTGCACAAGGAAGAAGTCATGTTAGTCATCTGCAGCCGTCATTCCTTTCACTGGATCTTTTTCTCTCATCTGAAAGAGTAAATATATGTCAAGTACTGATTCTCACATGATGTTATTTCAAACTCTACTGGTGTGGAACATGTTAAACTACCCTTCTTTATGTAAGGCTTTGTTTATAGCTGAGCACTGCCAACCAGTTTCTGTGAATACGCATATCCAGACACCATTTTTGGTTAAGCTGCAGGTCTTTTAGTGATCTGGAACCACTAGCCAAAGAGCGGAATGCACACGAAACCGTAATCAAATATCTTGAAGCACCAGGTGGGGGTGGGGGAAAAAAACCCCTATATCACAGAACAATTAACTCCTTAACATTCAAGTTTCTCATAGTAAGAAGTCTGCCTCGTACCCATGCTACATGCTTATAATACTGAGAGCTAAAAATGGTTTTGGTAAACTGATTTTTGGAAACTAACTAGGACAAACATGACTATCCAGCTTTGGGTAAAATTTAAAAGAAGATATTAAGCGATAAATGAATCACTGACACTCATACCCTGCATTACCTATGGGTCAATGTATTTATTGACTCAAAAACAAATGCAAGGAGAAGTCCATAATGATTAGAAGCAGATGTCAGAGCAACTAAGTCAGAGCCAATCATTCAAGCCACAAGCAGCATGACCTAAGTAGCAGGAGGACAATACACACTATGCTGCGACAATGGAGCAGTCTTTCCTCTGTTCAGCGTACTGGAGAGAGACATTTTCTCACACAACCCACACCTGCCCTGCTTTTTCACTGACCTCATCCAGCTGTCTCTTGGTCTCCTCCTCCATCCTACGAATGTCCTCCATAGTCAGATCAACCCACTTATCAAGCCAGCAAAAGAGTTGCCGATGGAAGTTTGTGAAGAGACGCTTTTCTTGCTGCAGAAAGGAAGAGGAAACAGTAAACTTGCTCATAAAGTAATTAATACGAATCTAACTAGACCGTGACAACTCTCAGAGATCATTACACTGAAGAACCAGCTCCCTCATCTACCTTTCTGTAGAGCTGCTACAATTGGAAACTGAAACTAGCTCATTTTTATTCTTTTAAAAGAACATCTAGAGCCTTGACTCCCCAAAGACATACATTTTTTCAAGCCTAGACAGCAGCCTGCACGTTGAAAGAATTAGTGAACGCTTTAGTCATTTCCTTTGACTTGACAGTATTGTACTGACTGAATAAAGTAGTCCAGGTCTGGTTTACTTAGAGCATGACAGTTGGCCTGAAGGAGCACAGAAAAGGAGAATCAGAATAGAAATATTTTTAAAATAACCCTTGACTCGCTAAACACTGGAGGCCAGCAAATATAAAGGATTGAAATGCACCTACCTTGCTTTTCTCTTTTGCAGTGATTTGAAACAAGTCTAAACTTGTTTTCCACAACTGAAAATGTTCCAGCAAAGGTAACTAATGTGCACAAGCTACTGCAACTTAGAGGCTATTCATTTCCATTTTATAGGCGATAAGTTAGGCAAGATCATTATTAGACAAGGGTACGCCATTGGTCTTGGCAAGTTCTCATTAGGGAAGGGCACTTCAATTTTACCAGTTATGATTTTTGCATCTGATCACTTGGTTTCATCAAAAACCACTCGATTACTTTGAAGCAAATGTGCAGCTGAAGAGACACCCAAAGAGAAAGGGATTCAAGACACTGCTTTGTTCAGGGCTTTTGTTATAGATACTTGAAATCTTGCAGCACGGTCATTCCTCCTCAGAGTTCTCTTTTGAGAATTCTATCACCAAATCCATACTTTTGGAAGTATGCTGCAGAAGCAGCACTGTAGTTTATCAATATCAACTACTGAGGAGTCTTTAAAATCTGAAGCCACAGGCAAATTATGAACATGACATTGCCTAGAATATTGCATGTTCTGATTCCCAAGTCTAGTGTTCTGCTGCAGTTCATGGGTTATGAACTCAGCCTCAGAAGAAGCTCTTTCCAGGATACCAATTATTCACCTTTTAATTTAATGAATTTTCCCCTTAATCTTTTTTTTTTTTTAATTCCTCCTTTTTTAAACATAGTTGCCCCAAGTCAAAATATTTCTAGCATATAGGCATCACCTCATCACTCACAAGTCAACTGCTGAATGACCGCAATTCTCCAGCTGATAATTAAACAAACCAAAACAGAGACGTTTTACCTCAATGCATTAGACTGACCACTGCAAAAATTCAATAGTCAATTCACAGAAAGATCAACCAGCCCTACCCTGAGATTAGCAGCAAACTGAACCCAAATTTAATCAACTGTTATATGTAAGGCAGAGGCCTTGACTATATTGCCCGAAATGGTATGACTGGGTTTCAAGTTAGTATTTCCAAGCAGGACACAACATTAGAACAAGCTGAGGTGCTAAAGCAGTTGGGAGATGAAACATGCCCTCATCCTTGCCCAAAGAGCTCACTTACCTTCTGGATAAAGTTCTCAACTTTGTTTTGCAGACCCCACCACTTGAACTTGACTGTTACCAGTTTGTAAGCACACATGTATGGACAATCTGTCTGCTTTCCCAGCTCCTTCTGCAAAGATATAAAGATATTCACATCAGGACTCAGGCCAAACTTTTCCAGGAAAGTAGCCCCTTCAGTATCACAAGGTCTTTCTACAGTTCCTCACAATCGTCTTTCATCCTTACACCTTGAATATTTGTCATCAGCAAGTTTTGTCACATTTTTGCTCATCCCCTTTTCCAGGGAATTTATAAGCATGACATAAAAACAGCTCATAGTCACCTCCACTGGTAGCTTTCCCTGCACTTTGAGAACGGACCATTTCTTCCTATCTTCTGTTCTCCATTTTTCCTCCATTAAATCTGTTTCTTTCAGGATCTTCACCCTTAAGTAGCCAGGCTACTTAACTTCCTTAAAAGTCTTTTGACAAAGTCCCTAACCAAAAGAGTTTAGAAATCCATGTAGAGTTTATCAGCTGGGTCACCGACATGATCATCAAGCCTTTCAAGAACTCCACAAGGTTTGAAAGGCAGAATTTCCTACATCCTTTTACAGAAGCCATACCCACTTTTCCCAAGTAGATCACATTAATCCCTGATGTTTGTTAATTTCATCTCTTATTACAGCTCTGACTAGGTTTGCCTACTAGAAATCAAACTCGCATACCTGTAGCTCCCCAGATCCTACTCAGAGTCCTTTTTAAAGATGAGTGTCATATTTGCCTATCTAGAGTCTTCAGAAACCAAAGGTGTAAGTGAAAGGTTAAACACTGCTGCTTGTAACTTGGCTATTTCATCCTTGAATTCTCTTGGGTGAGCTCTTGGGCTGAACACCAGACAGTTCTGGCAATTTCTCAGAACTCATTCTATCTATTTGCATCAAACTCTTCCAGTTTCTTTAATATCAGAACAGATCATCTGCTGAGCTCTGCGTTTCCTTCTACAGAGGCGAAGTTAACGTCTCGCATGCACGTACGTCTATGGTCTCAAGCCATATTAGCTATACTTCAGTCACGCAAACTGAAATTGGCTCCTGAAATCATGCAATGCATACCTTCCAGTTGGGACCCAGAGGTCCACGCCCAGTCTTGACAGATTTAAATTTTGCTGGATCTTCTTCTGCCTTGTAATCCTGTTGGATGGACACAGGAGATTAAACACAAGTTATCCTGGTGTTACTCAGCTGCCCACTGTCACACAGGAGGTATTTTTCTGGTGGGCAGAAACTAACCTCTATCTCTCTTCTGAAGAGCTACTGTTTTCACTCAGACTACAATATTAGTTCACGCGTTGTTCAAAGGAACATATTTCACCCCCCTGTGCTGTGTCCTAGACCTATGTGGGAAGTGGTAACAAACTAACTGATGTGATTTTGTAAGGAATCCTTTGGGATAACACTATCAGAAGATCTGTAAACTCCCAGGATAGGTTTCCTGTAATCATCTGTTCTCCAGGGGCTAAACAAAGCTGCTGCAGAAAATATCTATGCTCTCTGGAGCAGTGGCATCAGGTATTTTTCACAGCGCTGTACGAGTATGATGTTCACATATTGCACGCTGCAAGACAAGTACAGTCAAACTCACAATACTACGAAAAATCAAGAGGCATCACTTATGTCCCCCCCAATGCGTGGCAAATGAGATTTGTAGCATCCTCTTCCTCCCTGTTAGATTAAGACCAGGGTTTTGTCGTCTAGCCCTACCCTCACTTCGATTAAAATGAAAACGGACTCAAACCATCATCAGATCAGCATCAGAGGTGATCAATCAGCAGCATCTCCAGGTAAGTTCAGCTTGCTCTTTTAGAACGTTTAATTCAGAATAGTCTGTTTTTGCAGATATATCTTACCACCTGCCTTACCTATCAGAAATGAGATGCTACTCATGTTTTACAAATTCATCTTTATTGGAAAGAAAAGTCAAAATAAGTACTGCTTTTGTTATAATGCCAAGGCTGAGTTTGAGAACAAGTAAATTAGACAAGTTTGAACTGTATCAGAAATACCAAGTGAGGGAACTCAAACATGCCGCAGGGTTTTTCTTTTTCAGTATAGAAATACCCTTTAGTTTCTTACAGTAATTGCAGTGCTTCTTAGAACAAAACATTAGCTACACAACTGCAAGACACAAGTGCATAGCCACAGCTCAGCTTCAAAAGAGAGGTAGCTGAAAATTCTGTATGGAAAGGGCGGTGCCATTTCTTGTTATTCAAGTGTTATAATCAGCTGCAGTGTTATAAAACTACATATATACACACTGTCTACATGCACTGTAAGGCTAAGCAACACATTTTACAGTCTTGATATAGCTTGTAAAATAGCTCTCCCTCCGTATGGCTTTAAACATTTTAAGGAGCAAGGAAAGCGGGGGAAAGGCATTCCTTATTGTCCTGTTATCTGTGACCATCCCCAGAAACGCAGTTTGCATATTACCCTTTTTTAGCATAAGGCTTCCCACACCAGGGAGCTCTTACCCACCTACCATACCTTGGGAAGCACTTGACTCCGATCAGCAATGTCTATATAAATAGCTTCTACGTTCTTCCACACATCTGGCTCCAGTTTATGAACCTGTAGTGAAAATGCAAGACTAATGTAATCAATTCAGCTACAGAACACTCCTGTTCTGCAATAGTAAAAAACAGATGGGAGATGCAGACCCATTACTCCCCTTCCACGCACAGGGAGGACATACCATAACAAAGCACAATATGAGATCTTCTAAAGAAGCAAAGGTACTCAGGTAGAACAAGTGTTTTGGGGACAATTTTATTCAGCATATATGAAGAGTCAATGGGAGGAATTTTTAAACAAGCAGAGTCTCTGCTTTGCTAGTGAAATAAGCATTTTGAATCCCGGAACACTGAGAATAAAGACAGAGTTTTGCACAGCAATTCTCTAGTCTAACAAGGAAAGCAGTTTCGTGGCATTAAAGAGATGGATAAAATATGTGACAGAAGTACTTACATTCTCTTGCGTTCCAAGATCTGATTTATGCCAGGTTTCAATTTTGATCAAGAAATCATCCTTCATATACTCATTCTGCCATCAAAATAAAGATTCTTGTTATTCTTTAGAAATAGAACTGGCCTTCTTATTAGCTAGATAAGGACTAAGAAAGCCAACTCAGAGTTGACCATTATAACTTGATTGGGGTTTGACTGAGGGAACTTCAGATCATCTGTAAACCTGAGGTTGCTTTTAAAAAGTTATTCGATCACTAAACGTACAAGATGAAACAAATCATGAGCTGCTCACTGAAAAAACTTAAGGTCCATAGTTTAGTGAAATGTGTGAGGAGGAGATCCTAAAGGAGAAAGTCTGCCACTATTTAGAGTTTAGAAGGGGTAACAAGGTAAATATGCAGAAATTGGCTTTTCAAGGAGAATACTCATCTAGCACTGCATAGAGGCTTGGAGGCAACTCTTCAAATGAATAACAGTATCCAACTGCTGTGTTGAGAGCTTTTGCACCGGGCAGGGAAGGGACAAGAAGCACACTTCTGCCAGGTAAGCAAAAAAACTTTCCATTTCTAGTTATTACCGTGGATAGAAGAGGACTTCCAAAGGTAACCCTATCCTCCCTCAAGGTAGCAGAAACAAAAGCACAAGCCAGTGAAACACTCAGCATGTAAAAAGGAAATATCAAATTCAGAAGGCAGATTACTCAGAGGGGCATAATGACACAAACTCTCTTTTAATTTGTTTTTCTGGGCATTGGTACATTCCAACATGTGTAAAGCTGAGCACTGCTGCAGTAAAAGATCTCTGTCCCTCATTATAAGATGTTTGTGGAGGTGCTGTAGGTGATAAGGGACTCGCGATTTAATCTACATGATATTACAATGGCAAAAGCTACAGTGCCGTTAGCTCGTGCTAGAGCTCCCTATGCCCAGAATGTTTTATTTCAGACACTACACATGCTTCCATAGATCAGTAAAAACAATACTTACTGTAATAACTGGTCCAGGAAATCGACACATGAAAAGAAAGATACAGCATTTAGTGAAATAAGAAGGCATAGCAGTCATCACCCTCCTCCCACTATCAGCAAAACAGGGACAATTTCAGCTTCCCAGGGAGCTGCTGACATTACTGAAGAAAGAAACCCTAGACGTCTGTTAAAAATAGCTAACTTTGCCCCATTCCCCTCAGGAAATTTTCAGAAGTGGAGAAACCCAGAGGAGCAGCAATTAATTATGTACTGCCACTTCTGCTCTCTGGATTGCAGCCAGTTGGATGAGAAGATGGAATAAGTTTGTTGAGCTGGCGGCATTTTACCAATCCTTTCTCAGCTTGCAGATAAGAAACCTCTCCATAGTTCTGAAGCAAACACATGCTGGATTTCAGGCCAATGCAGACCTCATCACTCCCGCATGCGGTAACCAGACCCTCTGCATCTCTACTGCTCATGGTAACTAAACTCCCTGGATAGTAAGGCTCAATTATTCAACACAGAAAAGCAATTAAAGATCCTATAACAGTCAGCATCTGTTCTACCTGAGCCTTCAGAATACATTGGCAGTTCTAGTCTAAGAACAAGGATGTCTGTGGAGCTAGAACAAACCAGCAGAATTTAACTCTAAAATTTAACAGGAGGGCTTCACAAAGAAGCAATTTTGTTTTTGTATTAAAATTCGTGAGTTTCCAGCCCAACCTCCTGTGGACAGAACCATCCCTTATCACATATCATGCACATCCAGCCGCTTTAACTGCCTGCTGCTGGGCCTTAGACTAGTCTAAACCCTTAACAGTTTGAAAATTCCTTTTTACAGAGGGCTAACTATTTAGACTGACACAGGTTTGTGGGGAAGAGGGGAAGCAAGCAGAGCCGAGGCTATTTTTTAAAAGGCTGAATACCATCTCAGAGAATATTTCATTCTTTTCTGTAAGGAGTTTCTTTCCTATTAGACCACCTGAAATACTAGGTAAGCCAGCAATAATTATAAACTAAAGCCTTCCCACCTTCCCATGACAAAGTGCTTTTCTATGACTACACACCATAATAGCAGTTGCCTTAAAACAGGTTTATTCACCTTCCTATGGGAAAGGTTCTTCAACTGTAAAGGGAACAAACCAATCTCTTTAGAAACGTCCATTAAAAGTCAGATGCTCAGTTTGTTATAAATTAGGGCCTGAACTTAAGGTTTTACAGCAGCAACTCCCACATGTTTCAGCTACAGTTTTAACTTCGCAATTTCTTGCCATTTGGCCACAGGCATCTCATGCTGACACCCAGAAAAGTGGAACACACAACAAACTGCTTTTTTTGAAAGCATTTAAATGACATTAATATCCAAGTCAGACTGCAAAAGAAAAGAGCTAAGAATGCTGTTCTCTTGGCACCAGCCCATGGTTATAACTACTGGGCAATCCTCACTTCATTTTTACTGTAGAAGTTGTAAATGCATACAAGCAACAACCTTATTTACGATTCATGCTCTCTAATGAACAAAGCCAGGCTTCCGTTTAACTACATAAAACCACATACTCGTGTTAATAAGTGTGCAGAATTGCAGGCAGTTTCAAGCTAGATGTTTCAGTTCCCTCTATCTGCAGTACTTCTTTGATAATGGTATATAATATGCATATTAACATAACCATTTAGCTTTTCAGAGGAGACACGGAAATGTAAGGATGATCACTATATCTTGTATATTAAAAAAAATATTGTGCTGCAGAACTAAAAAGACTGTCTTATCCAAACTTAAAAGGCTCTGTGTAATAGCTGTTGTGCAAGAAAGTACACTAATATCACCTAAATATAGGAAGACACTGGCAGGAGCACTACTAACTCCTTAACTCCTGCACAGTTGAACCAGGTTTAGTTCTTACTACATCCCCTTGCTCCCAAGTTTCAACACTAGTAAGAGGGCTGAAAGGCATGCCAGCTGCTGCAAGCCACTGTGGCATTTCGTGTTGCACAGAAAGATTCACACGAGGCCATCCAAGTCTATTCACTTATGACCTAAATACCTGAACTCGTCTCAGTGTAAAATTATAACCCAATAGGCAGCCTACCACATACATGAGTTCTTCCCTCCTGCCCAGTACTATCAAGTGAAGGTTTCAGAAACATTTACGAGCATTTCTTGATTCGTGTCAGGCTGGCAGATTCTGTAAACAGATTTGTCAGCCTCCGCATAAAAACTGCCTTCTGCTCCAGCCCTCACAACAATACAGTTGCTATCTCACGTTATATTAGGGCTTATTACAGTTGAGGATTATTTTTCGTTAAGCCATTTCTAGCATATCAAAATCTGAAGTTTTATTGATTGTGCTGGAAAGTCTTATACTTGATTTTGGTATTGCATTTTTTCCACTTAAGTGGAATTTTAGCAGTGTGTAATTGAAGAGTAAGCAGCTAAGAGTGAGAAGACTCCATGCTTTTGTTCCAGACATTGGCAGAGAGGATAAAAAGGAGGAGGAAGATATTGCTAAGCATTGTCTAACAAAATCTAATGGAGTCAACCATTAGATCTTTTTCTACGGTTTAAAGAATTAGAGAAAGAATTGTTTGTGTCCAAACCAGTTCAGTGTTCCTAGCATGGAAACAAACTAGATATTACTGCCCAATTGATATGCAACTGACACGCAAAAAGAAAACTACCTAAAAGTGAGAAAGCTAGGTTGTACAAGTTTTGGGTTCAGCATTTTGAGTGATTAAAAACTTATTCTTCAGTTGATGGCAGTATCTGAACTCTATACATTTGAAATATCCGTGCCACTACTATTAACACATGCAGTTTCACATACTGAAGTAATGTTATCCTCCCTCACCGCAAAGCTCTTCCCCTCCCTTTTAAAACACTCTATTTAAAATTATCTTAAGTAAATTCTGTTGAAAATTTAGTTTTTCTAAATTGAGTTTCAAGAACAGTTGGAATTTTTAAGTTTACAGTTCCCATAGCAATTGTACTTCTGCCAAATAGCAAAAAAAAAAAAAAATGCATCTTTCAAAGATACAAACAACCTAAAAGGCAGCCAAAAATACTGCACAAGTTTGGAGGCAAAGTCAAAGCTGCAGTTCCTACAGCAACAAAGACCAGAAAAACAGTGGTGGTGAAACATTGCGGCCGATAACCTCAGTGAATAGATATTAAACATTCCTCACAGCAGCAGAAAATGAGTTTGACATTATTTCACCACTTTGCACAGCCTTCAGAGTCTCAGTCCAGAGTTTACAAATGCATTCACTTCACATTTGTTGGCTGAGAATTTGATATTTGCATCAAGTCACTATTTCCCACCACCCCAGAAGCCACAGCAGCATTATCTGTTCAAGATTCACTAACTTTGGATCCTACAACTGAGTAAATATCAATCACATAACACTGTTACTCCCTTCAAACTGCACTAAGTAAGAGGCAACCAAGATCTTCCCTATTTCCCTCTTGTATCTTCAAAATTTCTTCACCAAACTATGCTGCACTTGAGTATATAAGAGCATCCCTCACATATTCATTTCACTAGCACTGAACATCTCTTTCTTCAGTAGGGTTGACAGCCTCTTTTCCAGTCCCCAATCAACTGTGCATACGCTGTTACTCATTAGCAGCACATCGGACAAGGAAATTTCTTTTAACTCCAAGCACTAGATTTTGCTTTTTCTGAGCCAAAGGAAGGGCTTAGAGAATAGAAACCTAAGAGTTGAAATATCTTCCCCTCTGCTTGCCTCCTTCCCTCTCCCCTTCTGCTCTCCAAAAGAGAGACCAAAAAGCCAGCAAGCCACTGCCCTTCCCCACATACTCACCAGTTCTGCAGTAGGGATAGGCATTCCATGCTTTTTCATGTATATTCAGAGCTCCTTCCGGGGCCAGCATTCTCACAAATGTTGGCACTTTGCTGCAGAATTTGGGAACAGAAGAAAGAACAGAAGTATCGATGAGAACCGCATATAACAAGGGCTATGGCCTAGGCGTTCTAAGAAAGACAGAACAGCACCTCAAACATAGACCTTAGTGATTCACACATGCGTGTTTGTCATATTGGTGGGGTTTCCCCCACTCCCATCAAAACTACCATTTCCAGAGACTGTTGAATGTGGACAGGTTCAACTAAGCCTTCTTTACATAATTATGAATGGGAAAAGGAAAAAAAAAAAGAAGAAAAAATATAGGCTGAACAGAGGTTGAAATCTAGGAGGCATTTTGATTTTTAGTGAAATTCAAGTATCAAATACTGGGTAACAGGATTATATTTGCTTTGAAAAGCTCAGAGCCAGATTTTCTTGGGGCAACAGCCACATTGAGGGGGGCAGACGGGCATTCCAGTCACGCTCACTTCAAGCTGTACTGCGCACAAGCTGTTGTTGTTCTGTCTTACCTCCATGTCTTTCAGACCTTTCATAACCTGTGATTTACACAGTTGCTGCAATCCCATTCTATTTTTCTCCAGCTCTGCTTGCCTTTTAACCCTGTCTGCCTCTGGAAATAGGATGCTTCACGTACCTCTGTAAGTGGTAGATCTTGTGTGTGTACTGCCCACGCTCTCCATCTCTTTCATAAGGTTCATTCACCAGGACCTCCACTCCTTCACCTCCACCAGTTTCATTTTTACTGGCTTCTGCCACAGAATACAGCTGTCCCACTTGATACTAAAGAAGTTAAAGAGACGCTACTGTGATAGCTGTTATAATAATTTTACCAAAAGAAGCCAAGGGTAAATTTATTATCTGGGGAGAAGACGGGAAAAGGATATCCACTTGTGTGTCCAGATAAGCAGCTCATTTAATTTCATTTTGATATAGAAAGCTTGAGTGATAGGAAGAAAGCATGGCCAACAGCATGACTGTCTTTAACCCTTAGATCTTAAGCTCAAAACCAAGACAAATTCAGGAGAAAGCAAAAAAAAAAGAAAAGATTGTTAGGATGACATTTAAAGAGAATCCAGGAGACCTCAGCTGGGCAGTAGCAAAATTCATTGTTATTTACTTCTTGACACACAGACGGCCCAATTGTTCAGGTCAAACGCGTTGCCAGTTCTAAATTAATAAGCATATAGCACTTTATGCAGAAGAACCCCAAAGAGTTCCACAAGAAGTTTTTTGATAAACTGGGGGGAGAGGGGCACGCAGGAAGAAACAAAGGAGGGAGGGAGGAGATGGAGGATACTTATATCACCTAATTTAAGTGGTCCAAGAAACACATCTGTTGGATGTGCAAAGTTTAGAAGCCCATTACAGTCAAAGATGAGCATCTCCACAGCACAGTTCAAAACAACTAAGTCAGAACCTTGTAGATAAGAGGGTATTTGCACTGGCAGGCTTTTCAATTAAATGCTGTTATCTCTAGAGGCTGAACGTAGTGAAACTACCTGCCTTAGTCTTTATGACATATGCTAACACGCTTAAACCTCTCTCGTCAAAATTAATACTATAGTCATATCAGGCCATTTCTCTTTACTGAGCTTCCATTTCCCTTCTGAATCTAGTTCAAACTCTGCTCTCTCAGGTCCTTCCCAAATGAGCCCTTCTTCCTTCAACTGTCTTTACCCAACCCCAAATGATGTTTTACTTCCCCATATCCAAATCCATTTCATTTAAATACAGTTTTAAGAATAACTGAATAAACTATCGTCCCAGAGGGCCAGCTGGCCTACGCGGTCTCTCCTATCCCTACTATTTTTCCTACCCTCTGACTGAAAAGAATTATTCACAGTCCAAACCTAAGCCTATCCAACTAACCCATTCTTGTCTAGCTTTGGGCCGACTGCCGTACCATACCTCCTCTTAGCCATAAGCATTAAACCACTAACAGGGAAAGCATAGCATTTCAGCATACAGTAACATTCTTACCTTTAAGATCATTTTTCAGTCTCTTGCAGAGACTCACTTAGCAGCATTAACCCCCAGAATCACCCACATTATTTCATGCTATACAATCTCTTTCATAGGGAGCTTCTCCCAAATATTTCACAGGTAAAAGTAGAGCAAAATCAAGTATATGGGCAAAAGAGAACATTCTCTGCAGAAGCTGTAAAGATCAATACACTCTTGCCTCAAGAAGCAAGAAGACTTTCCCTTGGTCGAGGAGGATCAGATTAGAGATCATCTGCGCATACTTGACATCCGCAGATCCATGGGCCCTGATAGGATGCACCCACGAGTGCTGAGGGAGCTGGCGGATGTTATTGCTAGGCCACTCTCCATCATCTTTGAAAGGTCATGGAGAACAGGAGAGGTGCCTGAGGACTGGAAGAAAGCCAGTGTCACGCCAGTCTTCAGAAAAGGCCAGAAGGAAGAGTCAGGACACTACAGGCCTATCAGCCTCACCTCCATCCCTGGAAAAGTGATGGAGCAGCTCATGCTGGAGGTCATCACTAAGCATATGGAGGACAAGAAGGTGATCAGGAGTAGTCAGTACAGATTCACCAAAGGGAAGCCATGCTTGACCAATCTGATAGCCTTCTAGGATGGAATGACTGGCTGGGTAGATGAGGGAGAGCAGTGAATGTTGTCTACCTGCACTTCAGCAAGGCTTTTGACACCGTCCCCCCTCGCATCCTCAGAGGTAAGTTCAGGAAGTGTGGGTTAGATGAGCGGGCAGTGAGGTGGATCGAGAACTGCCTGAACAGCATCGCTCAGAGGGTTGTGGTCAGTGGCGCAGAGTCTAGTTGGAGGTCTGTATCTAGCAGTGTCCCCCAGGGGTCAATACTGGGTCCAGTATTGTTTAATTAATTCATCAATGACCTGGAGGAAGGGACAGAGTGCACTCTCAGCATGTTTGCTGATGATCCTAAACTGGGAGGAGTGGCTGATACACCAGAAGACTGTGGTGCCCTTCAGAGGGACCTGGACAGGCTGGAGAAATGGGCAGAGAGGAACCTCATGAAGTTCAACAAAGGCAAGTGCAGGGTCCTGCCTCTAGGGAGAAATAACCCCCTGCACCAGTACACGTTGGGGGTTGACCTGCTGGAAAGCAGCTCTGCAGAGAAGGACCTGGCTGTCCTGGTGGACCACAAGCTAAGCGTGAGTCAGCAACATGCCCTTGTGGCCAAGAAGGCCAATGGTATCCTGCGCTGCATTAGGAAGAGGGTTGCCAGCAGGAGGAGGGAGGTGATGCTGCCCCTCTCCTCAGCCCTGCTGAGGCCACATCTCGAGTACTGTGCCCAATTCTGGGCTCCCCACTGCAAGAGAGACATGCCACTCCTGGAGAGTGTCCAGCGGAAGGCTACGAAGATGAAGGGACGGGAGCATCTCTCCTATGAAGAAAGACTCAGAGAGCTGGGCCTCTTGAGCCTGCAGAAGACAAGACTGAGAGGGGATCTCATCAATGTATACAAATATCTAAAGGGAGAATGTCAAGAGGATGGGCCAGACTACTCTCAGTGGTGCCCAGCGACAGGACAAGAGGCAATGGGCACTAACTGAAACACAGGAGGTTCCATCTAAATATGAGGAAAAACTTTTTTTACTGTGAGGGTGACTGAGCACTGGCACAGGTTGCCCACAGAGGCTGCGGAGTCTTCTTCCCTGGAGATATTCAAAAGCCGCCTGGACGCAATCCTATGCAACGTGCTCTAGATGACCCTGCTTGAGCAGGGGGGCTGGACTAGATGATCTCCAGAGGTCCCTTCCAACCTTGGCCATTCTGTGATTCTGTGAAAAAAGTAGATGCAGAGCTTGACAGAAACACGATCAACTGAAGAAAATTCATGCAGGCCTCTCTGAAGCAAAGTTAGAGAAGCAGAAGAGATTTGAGAATGAAGTTAAAGCACTAGGTCAAGAGGAAGTGTTCAAAGCATGGCCGAGTACAACAGTTTTCTGAAGAGAGAGTGACCAAAACAAAAACTGCTGCTGAAGGTAATACATAGAAAGGCTGTCTGGAAAGGGTGACAAAGTAATCTAGAAAGTGTCAGGCATCAGAAATGCAATGACTAAAAAAAACAAAACCAAAGAAACCCCAAAAATGTAACTCAGTCTACAAAGTGATGGAATATTGCTTAGGCCTTCTTCCTTTTCACCAGCAGAGGACCATGCATCAGAATCAGGAATAGGGAGCGCTCAGCACTCCCTACACTGAAATCCAGAATGGAAAGATGGAGTACTGCTCAGAGCTGACAACCCAGAAACACATGACTGTGCTGGAGCATCTCCAGCAATGAAGGAAAATTTCTACCCCTGTAGAAAAGCACCCTCCCAGTAAAAGCAATCTACAGTAAAAATAATCTACAAACCATCTCCCACTGAAGAACAACGGATCTGCTGGATCACTCCAGAAGGTATTGGCCCAGGTTATACAAGCATCACTCGCATAGCTGGACAGTTCCTGCACTGTTACCAGCAGACTGGGTTTCGAGCTGGATTTTAGGCTGCAATACAACTCTCTTGTGTCCTGACATTTCATACACTACGTTGCTTTCCTTGTGACTACCTACAGATGACCCATACAAAACAGAATACTCACCTCCCTCCAGAACAGCAAACCATGGAGTAGTGAAATCTTTGAAGTCAGTTGATTTAAAAGAGTAAAAGCCACACACACGCACTCACACAGGAGAGAACACATGAGTTTGGCAACTACAGCATTAGAAGGGAGGACTGAATGGCTTTGATGGCTGTGCAGCAAGTCTCAGGACAGGCCTCCAGAGGTACAAACTAATTCCTCTTAGTAACAGCCTCTCATTCATTCCTTTTCCCTTTTAAACATGTGGGTCAAAGTTCGGGCACTAAGAGGATAAGCCCTTTGGTTTGGCATCTTCACTATTTAATCTTCCCTGTTATTTCTGATCCTTTAATCGCATAAAAGAGGAAAAGGCCCAAATAAAACTGTCCCAATGAACAGATCCCATAGCATCTGCCTGTGAAAGTTAACAGAAAAATAGATTCTGTCCCTATGAAGTCTAAAGCATCAGACAGACCTGTCCTCGTAGCCCTGAGAGCTCCTGAAAACTTTCTCTTCTGCAGGCAGTTACCCCTCTTGATCTGTCATGACACCTTTTATACAGCAGACAGCCTATGTTTATTACATCAAATCTCAGTCAGAAGGCATCATTTCAGTGTAGCCATCTTCTTCAAGAACGGTTATTTTCCTGAAAGCGGCTTTGAACACAATTAATAAATAAGAGTCCTTTGTGTTTGGCAAGCTCCTTCCCATGTGAGAGGAACAAAGAGGCAGCACAGAACGTGTACACGCAGCTCTAATCCATACCAGCATTTCAAAGTGGCAGCTGGTGAGACACCCACACAGAAGCTCAAGTCCATGCTCTCAAAGGTGACGCTGTGCAACGTGATGTTGGTCAGAGACTAAAAGAGTAAAGGTTAGCACACCAAAAATATACCAAATTGGGTTTTTTTTGTTGTTGTTCCTTGCAGGCAAGAACGTATAAAACAGCGCAGCTTGCAGTGTGCCCTAAGCAGGACTGCATTTTGGCAGAGTTTCTTTGTAGAAGGCAGTCTGCTACAGTCCAACTCCTACATCCCAGCCTTCAAGTTTTAGTCATCACCAGGGCTTCTCCCCCACTATTTTGTTCTCAACTCAGCAGTTACTTGGCTAAGCTATTCAGCGTTGAGCTCTTTACGCGTTAAGTCACATCTCTCCACTATCTTCCTGATCATTTGTTTTCTCTTGAATTTCTTACTACTGATTAAGCTCCATTTGATAGGGGTAAAGAGATTGAACACAGAACCCTGGCACACCACGCAATGACACTTCCCTCAGCCCTACTACAATGCTTCAAAGACAACTGATTTTTTTTCTCTAGGTTATACATGAGAAGGTATTTTTTCCGAGGTTATACATGCACCAGGCTTTTGGCAACAAATTGCCTGCTAAGGATGTGAACTCTCAGGTCTTTCGAGCAAAATTTTCTCACGTAAAGTTAAATTAGAAGCTCCCTCCCATTATGTCACAGATGATTAATAAAAGGTACTACCAGTCTCCGTAGCCCTATTTAGAGTTTTGTATATGAAGAAATCACTGACAGCAACCAAGTTTTAACAGCTATTTTGTAGTACAGACAAGCACAAAATAGCGGCAAAGTGATGCACAAATGGGTCAGCATTCCTCCACACAGGAAGGAGGATGAAGCAATGCATAAACCCAAGGCAGTAGTCATCCTTCCACTCAATACTGAGCCATAATAACCCCTCCTCTTCAGAGCACCTTTAAAGCTACCAAATCACGTAAGTATGTAGGCAAAGCTAAAGGAAGGCAAGAACCCCTCCTGCTTAGGGAACTTTATCCTGAAACCTAGCCCGCATATTGTATGAGAACAGACTACCCTTGACAAGGAACATCATTCAAAAGACACCGTGATGATATGCAGGTTTGGGGAGGAATTTAGTTTGGCCAAGTTGGTCGCCTTCCCAAATCCAAGTGCATTCTTAAGGCGTTCTCTCTAGTATATTTTTTCCTTCTCTTCTAGTTATGTTCATTTGCTATTCACTTTACAGACTTTTCAGTAGGTTACTCAACTCTTTCAAACTCCCTGGATGCCGAGTAAAGAAATACACCTTCTTATACAGATGACTGCAGGGCATCCTCCAACAAGGAAGTTGCTAGAGAGTGACAGATTCATGTATTGCCCGAAACCTGTTTTCCACACAGGCAGCCTACATACAAGGCTCAAAACATGCCTGGCACAGAACAGCCAGTCAGGAAGGGAAAAGAGCGTAACAAGAGACTCGCTTTAACTGGATGAAGGCTAATCCTACTATTAGCTAACTTAGAAAGCCCCTGTGCTGGGTTCCATCCAGTCTCAAAGAAACAATCTGTATACTGATGCTTTGACTTTCCCTTAACACAGCTTGATACCTAGAGGCATCTCGTTATGAGGTAGGGCTTCTGCTATTCAGGCTAAGGTCTTCCCTTTACTGAGCTCTGGAACACCCTAACACGTAGCCATAGCTTTCACAAACACTTCCCCTGCCACTTGCAAGTTTGCATCTTTTACTTACTTGCTAAGGCTTATCCTGTTAGTTCTTTCTTTGTCAAGAACAAAGAATTCTGTTCTGTCAAGAACAGAATAAAAAAATCTAAGCGAACCTACTCTAATACTTTAATCAGACTTCAGTTAAAACCGTTTGAAATAGTTTCATGCAGAAAGCATGTAAGCAACAGATAAGGAGTAAGCAACAGCCTTTTGGCATTAACAGCTCTCATTCCTGCACCAATATAGCACAGAGGCCTAAAACTACCATCTGAACAGAGGCCTAGGCCTGCCATTGGCATGTGATGCATGTCACAACTGGCTGATCCACAGGAACAAGGAACTCTGCGCTTAGGCATTGCTTTTCTTTTCCTAGCCAGCCTCATGGCTGCAGGCATACACTACACCAAGTTCCAGAGTGTTTTATCTCAAAAGAGTATGAAGTTATCAAAATGTTACGCTTAAAACAGTGCTGCCATGATCCATCTTACCCCTGTCTACATCACAGTAGTTGCTATACTCATGGGAAAGAAAAACAAAGGAGAATCCTCTCCTCACAGCTTCCCCTAAGAGTTAGAACAAGCCCTTGACCAGAGCTCTCAAACTGAAGGCTTACAGCCAAGGACCACAAAAATACATCTAGATGAGGTAGGCTACCACAGCAGTGCTATAGATTCAGTCATTCCAGTTTCTCAGCTACCTTCCTAGTATGAACATAGACAATGAGAAAAACATTTATATGGCTTGATTCTCTGCACGGGGGTGTTCAGTGTAGAAGGGAAGGCTGTTAAGAAAAAGGGAAGAAAGAAAGGTAAAATGCAACCTCCAGGGAAGACAGCAGGGAATCAGCTACGGACTCTGCACAGTTACTCCACAGTCAGTTGAGCAATCAAAAAAAAAAAAATCACTCTCTCCATTATGAAGTCCTTCATCTAAACAATAAGAAAGTTTTATTTTGGTAAGATCTAGAGGAGACAGATCCTAAGGAGTCCTAGGAAGTACCTATATAATCTTTGCTTTGCTATACCAGCTTAATAAATCAGAAGAAATTGTTTCAAACTCTTAGACAAACAGTAACAAAAGAATTATAAGAAAATACAGATTAAGAGTAACTTCCATTTGTACTAAAGCTTCCTCTTTATGTTAAAAAAAAGAAAAAAGAACAATAGTATTTATCAGAAGGAAACTGCCCTTTAGAACAGTCTGACAAGTCAAGATTTGTCATCAACACATCTGAAAGCACTTTAAAAGGCTATCAGTATCTTGAGGCTTATAGAAATTAAATTAGTTGGCCAAGCTGACAGCGACTGAGTGAGAGCACACAGGGTCCCTGAAGACAGCTATACCCTTCCCTTGCATTTTCCAGTTTTTGTTCAAACAAACTGCTTTGATCGTAACTTTAATTACGGCCCGAAAGGAAGGAGGCAACAGGAAAAGGACTTACCTCCTCCACAGACACAGGCAGGATAACACGACTGAAAGAGAATACAGAAACAGAACAGAAAGTTAAAAAGCGTCCCTGCAGTTGCAAAACTTAGATGACACATTCCTCGCAGCAACAGCTGCACAGCGCTCCTTTCCCCTCAATCTCTAGTGCAAGCATCCCTAGCACTTGCTCTTTAGTCCCAAAGCTATTTGTATATTAGCCTCAAAGAGAATCTATAAGTGATATAGCTTAATTGCAATCTTAAACTAAAACTATAATATTCTCATAAAGCCTTATTGGTAGCATCTTCCCAGGCGATGAACATACGCAGTATCGAGACAGTCACACCTTCTTTCTCAATATATCCTCCTCAACAATCTCATCTGATTTCTTGGTAAGTTGTTGTAGCGTGCTGCTATGTACTTCATCAATTTTGTAGCCACCTGTGATAGCCACACACTATAGCAAAATGTATTTATATGTCCTATCTGGAAGTAACTCTAAATAGAGGAGCTATACGCAACTGACTGAGAAGGAAGGAGTTGCCATTTCTATACATGAGTCACTGGTTTCACATTGTGGTTTCCTGACTGCCTTCTAGAATCAACTGACTAGACTATAAAGCAAAAACTGCCAGAAGTCATACTGAGATTTAGTTTTATTCTTGTCCTTTCAAAAAATTTAAGAAGTGATAAAGACACAGGCTTCTTAAGGCCTTTAAAAATGTTACATGCGTTCCCAAAACTAAATATGCATTCTACCTCTGCTTTCAGTAAGGATGAGGTTGAATCAGGGAACTAAAGCAAGATACAAATATGAAACTGATACAGCTACTGCAGATGCAAGCCCCCCAAAAGCTCAGCGTGATTATGCTTTTTGAGGGGAGAAAAGATCTTTCATAGTTCAGCAATAGTAATTACCTAGACTGGCATGAGGAACCATATTAAAAACACTAAGAACTTAATAATACTGTGAAGTGAGAGACAGTACTTAGAGCTGGCACACAGCAAATACAATGACCATTTCTAAAAATATGGAAAGCAATTCTTTCTATTAAGCGAGGTTTGTAAGAATTTTTTTTTAAATGTACATAGCTTTAGAGAAACATTCCCCAAACAGTCCCATCAAAATGGGGGGAAAAACCCCAAAACTGTGTTCAGAAAGTTTTTTGGTGACCAAGAAACTACAGACAAGTCAGTCTGACTTCTATACCAAGGAAGTATAATGAACTGCTATTCACATGAATAAATGCGATACGTGGAAACAGTGGAAACAGTCAACGCGGCTCTCTGAAAAACACACTCACACCTCAGAGGAAGATATAACACGGAAAAGGGTGATCTGTCTATACAGCGTATTTAGACTTTGAAGAATTTCACTAATAAGTCTCAGAGAAGTGAAGATACTATGGAATAAGTAGAAAGTCATCTTTATTAAGGATTAACTGATTAAAAAAAAAAAAAAAAAGCAGTAAGGGTGATTTTTTTCCCCCTATGCTAGAGGAATGTTACCAGCAAGACACCACAAGGACAAACTGTAAGAGAGGCAAAAGTTTACAGATTATGCAAGATTACTTATGACAGCAAAGCTTTATGTTGGCTGCAAAGTATTGCAGGAAGAACTACTGAGAACTGCAGATGAAATTCAGTGTCAATAAAGCAGAACAATGCTTTACAGGGACTCAAGTTTCCCCATACACATGGGGCAATGAGTCCCAAATTAGCTGTCACCAGCAAATATCTTGGTGTCTATATGGAAAAGCATCTGGAAACATCAGTTCAGTGGTAGTTCAAAAATAAATACAACATCAGAAATCAGAGCACAGCATATAACAAAAAAACCCATAGATAACAGTTATGCCGTTGTATAATCTCTTATGCATCAACATCTTGAATACCTCATACAGTTCTGGTCACCCCATCTCAAAGAGGATACAAAATCGTTAAAAAAGAACAACAAATATGATTAGAGGTAAGAAAAAGCTTTGGGAAAAGAAAATAATCAGTCTAGGCTCTTCAGCTTGGAACAAAAGACAGCTAAAGGGTTAAGATATGGTAGCACTTTACAGAGTCATGAATGGTGTGAAAGACTGAATGGGGAAAAGAACAATGATTATTTCTTACAACAGAACAACTGTTGGGGCATAATAAAAATCATTAGGCAGCAGATAAAAAACAAGTCAAGAGTACTTCTTTACATCATGCATAATTAAGTAGTGGGATTCCTCATCAAACATGAGAAGCATAAGCAATTTTAAAAAGGGATTTGATCTGTTCATGGGAATCTATATGCCACTTACTGGAAAGATACACTGAAGAACAACCATTCTGTACACTATTTATATAGTTTCCTAAAAAATCTGCTAGAGGCAAGGTGGAAAAGGACATTTGGTCCAATTCAGCATGGTATTCCTTACATAGAGGAGAACAAAAACGGAAAACGGTTTACCACAGGCAGAGTATGCTATCAGACGTGATATCGGGTTAGTTAACTGGTCCAGGATAAAACTGCAGTAAGAAACAAAGAGGGACAGAATAAGTAAAGATGAAAGACAAAGTATCAGGGAAGAAACAGTGGCTTTGGAATTGAGTTCAAGTATTTTCTTTAGAAAAACCGGCATGCAAAGATTGATTTAAGCTAAAGAAATTCTGCGTAAGAAGGTAGAAGGTAATAGATCTAAATATAATCATACAGTTGGATTTTCACAGAAACAGAAAGAAGCGAAACAGTTTATCATTCGTTTAGCCTAGCAAACAAAGAATGTGAGGGATGACTAGTATTTATAGGTAGTCAAATGATAGGGAAGGAAGAGAGAAAACAACTCAAGGAGGGTAGAGAGAAAAAGCCTCTCAGGACTAGCAATGGAAACAGACTCTTAAGTTTGGGACAGAACTTGATTAGATGATAAGAAATTATATGATGTGGTTGCCTGCCATATCAAAGGCTCCAAAACCCTGAAGAACACTTAGGTTGCCTCCTAGATTAAAATCTACCTCAAATGACAGCAAAGGCAAGTACAGCTGCAGAGAAGGTCAGTATCATTACTGTCACTTCACAGGAAAGGGAAGTGAGTCTCTACACTCAGATTCTCCTCAAGGTCTCCCAAGGCAGTTTAAATCAAAATAGGGAGACAATGCAAGATCTCAACCAGCATTTAGAAACCCTGCAATTAACACAAAAAAACCAACAAAAAACCGACAAACTGTAACTTATCTGGAGCAAGGACAGGTAGAAATGAAAGATAATTCTGAAAGACTGATAGGACACCAAATAAAAGTATTGAACAAAAGCTATTGCTGTGTTCAGTAGGAGAAGCTTCAGAGAAAAGACAGATTGTCTGTCTGTCAATGAAAAATTTGATATAGGGCTTGTGTTATATCGCTCTGTTTCTGTAATGTCTCCTAAAATACCTATGGAACAGATACCAATACCTGTTTGGTTTACTAGGGAGGAAGTAACAAGAGGTCACAGAGATGGAAGAATAATCTGCTCACATGACACGCAGCTTATTTATATTTTTACCACTTACACTAGGTAGGCAGCAAGGTACCTGCATGTACTGTTGAGGCACCCAGAACCAATGAAACTAACAATGAATGTCTTACTCTCCAAGTTACACCAAAACAAGTAGTTTTTAAATACCTTAACAACGGCTTCCTAGAACACAAGATTTAGTCAAAAAATAGGCTCAAGTAGCCTGTAAAACCGGTAACTTTTACATACAACATCGAGGAAGATTTATTCAAGAACCAATAATGATGACACAACTCAGAATATGCAACTGCTAGAGCTAGGTGGGAATCCCAAGAAACGAAAATAAAAGTAAATTCTTTGAGCAATTGTGCATCTTTGACTGCCCTTAGAGTCACATATCCTTCAATAGACACAAAGAAGAGAAGAAAAAAAAGCAAGCAATATAGCTAATGACAAGGCACAAGAGGTTTGTTGGACCTTCTGAAAACAGAAATGGAAGCCAGTAAAGAGAAACAAATGTAATAATTCTTGTCTTTTCCCCCTTAGTCTTCATGTTTCTGGAACAGGCAGTCTGAAAGATCATTAGATATGCTGCCTTGATGAGAAAAATGAAAATACCAAGTAAAACGATTTCTGGAAATCACCCCTATGAGAAGGAACTTTGACTTTTCAGACTGCAGAGAGTATATGCAAAGTAAATGGTGCTCCCACCTTTATGAGATGCACTGTAGGTAGCATAGCTTACTGGCAGATGAGCTCTACTACAGTATTAGGCAAGAAACTGAAACTGTAAGTAGAATCATGAAACAGGTGAACTTGAAGAGAAATAAAATAGCTGCCATGAGAGGAAAAGCACATTTACAAACGATCATCATAGAAGAATGAGTTTAGTAGTTTTCCACGCGTCTAAAAGGGAGCACTTATCCTGTATTTCTGTCTGTTACACAGCTTAATGCTCGAGAGGGCAAGGGTGTCTTGAAGAAGAGATCTGAAAACCTACTTTATCACTGGGATCACAGTTATCTTCCACTAGGAAAAAGAGAGAAGGAAAATCAAAAAAAAAAAAAGCCACTTCCACCAGTCAAAAGAAGTTTAAAAGGACAGAACGCACCTAATAAAATCAAATGTAAACTGAATCTTTAAGTTAAGGCTAAGAATTCAAGAAGGAAACACGAGCAGTAAGTATGCACAGCTCAAAGACATCTAGCCAAAGTGCACTGGTCCAAAAGAGCACACGACATTGAAGTGGGTGAAGGAACCGAATGAAAGATGGCACAAAGCAATGTGATTAATAGTTACACACGCACTTGGGACAGCTTGTCCAGCCCCTGTTTTCTTCCTCTTCTTCCCCATCATGGGACAGAACAACTACAGGAGACTTGGAGACAGCAAAGAACTACAAGGTTATGTTTCTACACAAGAAAACACTGTGGAACTACTTTACTTCTGTTATGTTTGTTCCCCTTTGCTTTTCTAGGGAGAAAACACACAGCTGGGG